TAAAGATTTCACTTATTAATACACATTTTAAGGTTTTGTTTGTTTGTTTTAACCATTTCATGCTGTGTAAAAATCTTCAAGGTAAGTACCTTCTTACCTTTCTGATATTTTTTATGTGAAGGGCCTTCTCTTCAAAAGGTATTAGCTGACAATTTTAGTACCTACTATGCAGAAGGTTTTATGAGAGAGGAGGGTAGAGGTAGCAGCATTTGTTAACTTCTAAATGATGGGCTCTGTTTCTAAATGCTGGGCTCTGTGTTAGGGATCATCATTTAATCTTCCCCAAAGCCCATAAAGTAGGCATTATTATGATTACTGTCTTATAAATAAGAAATCAATATTCAGAGACTTTAAGTAACACCAAGTTAGTGGCAGATTCAGAATTCAGATCCAGATATATTTGAGATAAAAGCGTATGCTTTTTCTACTTCGCTGAGTTTATCAAGACAGCGTTCTAAGTACTACTGGAGATGTAAGAAGAAGTAGATATTTCCTCTGCCCTCTGGGAGTACATACTTAAAATAGTGGGAAAAACATATATGCACATGGAAAATTAATACTACAAAAAGATTATATTCTGTTATATGATAGGAGACGTGCCAGTAACAGGCTGGCAACAATGGATGCTCTGAGCTCCTCTTACTAAATCTAAGGTAGAGCTTCTTCCAGTAATATTTAAGCATTAAAACCACACCTTTTTAAATAACAAAATTTTACCAGTGGTCACCCCCGATGAGTATGATTTTGGCTATGTTACTTTTACAGGGGAAAAAAAAATTCTGCCGGGGATGGAAAAAAGCCTTTTGTGGGTTGTTTTCCTTTTGTTAAAAAAAACTCTGAATGAAATGGAATTGGCCAAAATGCACATTTTAACATTATATTATTTTTATTTATTTAATGAACATTTATTGAGTAATGGCATGGGAGACAAAAGAGCATCATCTCTGCTCTCAGGGAACTTCTAGTCTAATAGGGAAATGCAAGCATATTACAAAAGAAGGAAAGAGTGGGGAAGGCATCAGGCGGACAAGACTTTGGTTACAACATGTGCATCTATGACTATGTAAAACACATAACCAAAGTTATAACAATTTATTTAACCTATTTGTATTGCCCATTCTTCTGAAGGATGACAACACAAATGGACTTAGTCTCTTATTTCTTAGTTTTTAGTCTCTTATTTTTTAGTTTTTTGCTCATTTTTCATTGTGATCAAATTATCTATTAGATTCTGAAATAAAAGATTCAGTAATCTATGAACTAAAAGTGAGTTTTTTTCTCCTTTCCTTGCACTCCTGTGCCAACTCCTGTATACTTCCTTATAATAGGTATTGTGATGTGGTTTCTTCTTGCTGTCATAAAAATTATTTTTGGTGAAGTAGCAAAAGTTATAGAAAGTGTTAAAATTTCTAAATACTGCATTAGAATTTTTTTTTTGTGGAAAACTTTCATTGACCTGTGCTTTCTGATAAACAGTTTTGTAGGTGTTTCCTTACTGAACCAATTACTTCTCACCCCCAAATTGTCTATGTCTGTGGTATAATTAAATTCCAAATGTTTGGAGACATTTTCATATTATCTGCATGTTCTCTGAGTGATAAGGTACCTTGGAAAATGTGAGATAGTCTTTTAAAAGAAATGCTGTAATTATACATTGATTTTAAATGACCCTGTCACATGTGAAAACAAATCAGATTGTTGCTCCTAATGAGCTTTTCAATTTACTATTCAGTAGATCAGATAAGTGGATTTAAGAGGTAATGATCCTGTTTAGTGCTCAAGCTTGACTGTCAGATCCTAGTAGTGGAGTGAAATCCCCAAGGACAAAAGCGTTGACACAGTTTTAGATGGGATAATGGGAATCAAAGGTAATGGATGATAAAAGGAATGGTGCAAGTTACAAGGATAATTGTGGATTAAAGCACTGCCATGTGTCAATGTTGACTGTTTTTTCTAGTATATTATTGGGTCAAATCTGATGCTTTGAGAAACTGTTTTGACAGCAGGGCACCACAGACCTGACTGCCTAGTTTTCTCCTCTCTTGAATGTGACGAAGACAACAGGAAAACTTTTCCTTCTGGGAACCATCAATTAAAAAAGATATAATCTTTTAAGTGTTAAAATGTTTTAAATGTTAAAAATCACATTTTAATTATTGTTTTTGTTATTTAATGTGGCATGGTTAAAATTAAAGTGAGATTAATCTGAGTTTTGCCATAAAAAAGTAGCATTTATAAAGTCCTAAAAATGTAAAATGTGATTTTCAAAAGTATAGTGTAGTCATTACATTGTTCAAAATGAGAAAATTTACCAGGAGAGGAAAGAGAAAGAAGGTATAAATACAATAGAAATAAAATGGGTGAATTGAGATAATGAATGGCGTAGTCATGTCCTTTCCAAAAACCAGTGTATCAAAACATGGAATTTTATGATTAATTTTATTTATCATGAAGATGATCCTGTATACCATCAGGAGAATTTGTGCTGTGAGTTGTAGTAGGGCTTCTTTAAATATATCCATTCATGCTTTCGATTTTGTTAAATAAAAGTGCCTTTAAAATTCCAGTCAAGAGTTAAGTGCACAGTTTGTGGCCATGGTCAGAACAGGGCAGACAATAAGGTGTCAGGTCCCCACTGTTACCTGATTTTATAAACTAGGCTTATTTGGAATATCTCATTTGACAAGGGCGCTACCAGAAGTTTAAAGACAATTGCTTTAATCAACTACTAGATATTCATAGGTTAAAATAACAATTCAAGCTTCTCTTCGTAACTACTTTTTTTTCTTTTGTAATTTATGATTCGGTGTCTTTCTGAATCCAATATATGCTTCATAGGAAAAATATTCATTTTTCATTATTTATGTAATATTGACTTTATAATATAATCCTAATGGATCCAGGCTATGACTTTTGCCATTACACATTAAACGCACATGTAGTATTCACTTGACAAATATTGCCTTAGATGCAGGAATACAAAGAGTAAGGCATGGTATCACCCATCAGGGAGCTCTCGGTGTAGTGGAGATGGACACCCAATATGAAAAGCCCAGCGATAGAGGAATGGACCAGATGTTATGGGAACATAAAAGAGAGTGCAACTCACTTTTCTTGGGAAGGCAAGGAAGGCTTCAGAGGAAATGACTTTTGATTGGAAATTAGGGAAGAGGAGGAAGAAGGCTGATTCAAGCAGAATGAATAGCATGAACATACAGAGAACATAAATTGCATGAGAATCCTCAGTGATCCATCAGTATTTCACTGTGGCTTGAGGTTGGGGCCAGGTTATGAAGAGCTTTTTGTGCCATTAATCTTATCAACATCAGATTTTAAGGGACCCAACTCAAATACTCCTATCCATGGGAAATGTTTTGGATCATGGTGAGCTAAAGGAAACTTCCCTTTCTACATATCATTCTTCCTTTTAGCCCTCTATGTGCTTAAAGGTTTCTGATCATTGAGGATTGGTGGTAACTAACTTCCCTAGGTTCTCTCTTCCTAACTCCTTCTTTCACCCAAACATCCTAAGAGCCACAGTGACAACTTCAGTCTCATAAAAGGTGAAGACCTACTCTCATGGGCAAAGTGACAGATACATAGTCATGGAAATGCTTTTCTGTAGGTCTCAGAAATTAGCAGAAGAGGCAACAGGAATTTAAATCTCAATCTTCCTTTCTCTCTCTCCCCCAGCTGCTCCTCTCCACCATTTTGCCCCTTCTTTTCTTTTCTCATGCTCTATACCCAGCCCCTCCTTCTCTCCCTCTCTTTCTCTCTACCAGCCTGAGGAGGAGCCTTCCAGATATAGGACTCAGATTGAAAGCCTGGAACACCGCTTATAATTAAATGGTGTTTAAAATCCAAATAGGAGATTTCTGCAATGAATAGCTTTCCTCCCCTGTATGACCATATAACTCTGGGTGGTTTATGGTACCCTGTGATTTTTATCTTACCTTCAGGGCCTATGGCAGTATATTAGATATGAAAAACAAAAGGTAGAAGGAGTGAAAGCTAAGTTGCCATACATAGGAAAAAGGCAGATCAGGAGAAAGTGAGAGAACACAATCACAGGGGATCAAATCACAGAAGAGAAATCCCATACAGCTGGTGTCTGGCAGGGATAAACTGGAATCACACCAGAGCATCAGGGAGTATGAAGGTGTCAACCCACCTCTCAGCCCTGCCAGGCTATTAGGGAATATTCCATTGGCTGCCAGTGGCATTTTCCTACTTGAGGTGGAATATGTGCTTATAAACTCAATGTAGCTTGGGTTGAGACTGAAATGTTGCACCCCAAACTGCAACCAACACTGTAATTGGACGCTTAGTGGATTCCCAGGCCCTGATGTTTTCAACAGAGAATCCCTGAACTTGGGATTTCAGTTTCAGCATGAAAAGTAAGACCTTCCTCTGTATTTGGGGAGCTTAAATAGGGGATATTTGAGGAGATTTCCATGAATTCTTTAATTTCCATTGATTTTTGAAATCTTATTTTTATAATTGTCTTACATAATCCTGAATTGGTTGATACTTTGCTGAAATCTGGAATAGATGGAAAAATTTTTAAAACTTTTAATTATCAATATACAATGTAGTTGATTTCCGTGTCCCTTTACCAATTCCTCCTTTGGAGCCTTTTCTTGAAGGACTCAACTTTCCAGCTCTTTGCATACCTACTCCCGTCTTTGAGAAAGGGGTGGTTTACCACTTTGAGGGAAAAAAATGTTATGTGGTGTAGTGGGCGTAAAATGAGTATGTGGGTGTGTTTATTTGTAAGTGTGTATATATTCAAAAACAGGAGAAGTGCTTTATGGAAGAAAAAGTTAGTACATTTTAAAATTAAAATTTAAAAAAAAATTCTTCATTTGCTCCTTTTACCCACTCTCTACTACGTTGTGGATGCAACAGTGTATTAAATCTTAACATTTGTTCACTTTGAATAGTCTTTTGGGAATATATGTTAATGATAAAGTTTTTAACAATGAGATGTTTTCGTGCAGGTATATGCCCGTATGTCAGAAGTCTTAGGAATAACAGATGACAACCATGTTCTAGAAACATTCATGACAAAAATGTGAGTTTCTGTTTTGGTTTTTAATTTTCCTTTTGTTGTTTTAAATCTAATGGATCTTTTAACTGTACTTAAATCTCTTTATGGATATTAATTGTAATTATGCTTTAATTTTTGGAATGTTAGCATTGTTCTTAATTGAAACTTAATTGCACAAATTTAAGACTCACCATCATTGTAATTTGTCAACGTAACCATACAGTTGCAGTATACAGCATCAGCACATGGTTTTAAAAGGTTTACAGACCTTGACTCTTCAGGTCAATTGGGCAACAATTTCTTTTTTTTAATTAGAAAACACCCAATTTCAAACTGAAGAGATTATTGCAACTTGGGATCACGGAGAGACTGCCTTAAGACAGACCATTCATTGGGTCCAACAGGAACCTATGGCTATCAAAAACATATTCATGGACACTGTCCTTAAATTATTCTTATAACATTAGCAGAATTAACTAATTTCTAGTCATAGACATAACATTGTACACCTAAACTTGTATGCCTCCACTTGGCGTCCCACTTTATCTGTAACAGATAGCCTATCTTGCTTGCAGAGAGCATAGCTAGATAAACAATTATGATCATGAGAAGTGAGTTTTGGAGCCACAGTTTGATGGTTCATTTTTTAGCAGTAATTGTGAGCCTCTTTGACTTTTTTGTAACTCCTGCTTTCATTTCCTAATATGTTTGTTTTGGATACAAACTTAATGTTTCTTCTGTGAAATACTTATGCAGCTTTTTAATTTGCAAAACTTAAATTTATAGAATCATACACCATTTGGAAAACAGTGTTCATTGTAGATTGGTTGTGTATGATTTTGAATGTGCTATAAAAAGGATAGAATAGAAAATGTTCCATCCGTATTTGAACCTGCTTTTCACTTTGTGAGATATTGATGATTTATGTACTCTAACTTACATAAGTGTATATGTGTTTATATGATTCCCTTACATAAGGTAATATCTTACTTATAACTTGAAAATTTTTTTCATATTTAGTGTTACAAACCTTAAGTACTGGGGAAGATGTGAACCTGTAATTTCAAGGACTCTTCAGTTCCTAAATGACCTATCTGTTGGATATCCTTTTCATTGTATATCTGATATTATATATAAACAGCCTAACAAGCATATTCTATTGGTCAGATTTTTTTCCTTGTTTATAATTTTTGCACATTTAAAAAAAAAATAAGGGTTTAGCCTTATCTGTAAATGCATGTTTTTGAAAGGTTTATATTAAGTACATACTATGAAGCATTTATTCAGAGTAGCATTTATTCAGTATGGATATATAGATTTCTTTTTTTTTTTTTTTTTTTATAAGGGTTTAGCCTTATCTGTAAATGCATGTTTTTGAAAGGTTTATATTAGGTACATACTATGAAGCATTTATTCAGAGTAGCATTTATTCAGTATGGATATATAGATTTCTTTTTTTTTTTTCCTTTTTGTCTTTTTTCGTGACCGGCAACGGATCGCAACCCTTATCTATTATAAATAGACTCTATTCACAGCAGGTCCACATAAGGACAGTCAGTTTTCTGTCTCTGAGCATCATGTATGTATATAATGCTTGCATCTGTGTAGACATCTGGGTCTAAGAGCAAAATGAGCCTAAGCATGAAGCCATCGTATAACTTCGTATAATGTATGCTATACGAAGTTATTACGGTCTTTTTTCGTGACCAGCAACGGATCGCAACCCTCAGTGTTGCGCCCGCCCCTCGCTCAGCCAGTGAGCGGCCGGTCTGTATGTGGGATCCGAACCCTCGGCGGGAGCGCCACCGCGCTTCCCAAGCGGTGCACTGTAGCAGTGCACCACCGGGCCGGCCAAGATTTCTAATTAAAGTTATGATTACACTCACCCAGGCTAATAAATAGTTACATATGAAAGTATGCAACCACATGTTTTTTAGTCAATGGTCTTTTGTAATTGTCAGAAATTCTTGTTCTAAAAGAAAGCATGTAGCTAATTTTAGAAAGGTCAAAATGTTCTAAAAATATTACCTTATAAAAACTGAATTCATAAGAGTAAATATATCTCTCATATTCTTCAGTTGAAAAAAAACATCATTTTCATTAGTTGAGAGGCACAAAGGAGTAATAGGAAGAGAATGATAAGCCTTTGACCACTTCTTTGATATTGGCCCCACCGAATCAACATCTTATCTACTCTAAAATAAGATTTCTCATTATACATCAAATGTTTAGATTTCTCTCCCTAGCAGATTTTTTAAAATCTAAAACCAGGAATCATCCTTTCTTACAAGATATTATACTTGATACTATTGTCTTCTTCCAATGAGAGAGAAACATGTAGATTATCTTTTATATATTAGTTGTCAAATATATAGATGTTGTGAAAAATAAGTGTTGGTTTAGTTAACCTTTAAGATTAGCTGATATTTTAATATGAGGACAAATTCTGAAAATGGGAGACTTTGGGTAAAAACCTTTAATGTGGGTTTATTCCAGGAATATGTTTGTATTAGTTAAGTTTAAAATTGTGCTCCTTGGTAAACCATAAAAGATTTCCAAAGTATAAGACACCCACTTTTGTGCTGGAATTTAATATGCAACTTTTTATTGGAAAATAATCGTCCTTGTCTGGCAAAATCCACCATGCAATATTTCTGTTAGTAGGTATAATGCAATAAAGACAGGGAGGGCTATTTATCACTACAAATTTTGAGGATTTCAGGATTCTTTTTATTATTTTAATATATTTCTTTGATATTAAATCAGAAAAATGATAAATTACACCTGTCCATGCTGTTTTTCCTTTTTACTAGAAAGTGATGTACAACCCAATTCCAGTGGTCATTTTGGCTTTTTAAGATATATATTTTTTCTTATTAAAAAGAAAAAAAAAACTCAACCTGTATTTTTTCTAATAATAATGCTGAAATACTCTTTATTTCTAACATATGAAGTAGTTTATAAGTACTTCCTAGTATTGCAAATTCTGGCCTTTTCACAATGAATTATCTTGAGAGTATATTATCTAGAAAGAGGCTTTGGTTATTTTATAGCACATATCTATTGTTTAGATTCACCCTATTTTTAAGATTGAAATTGATATTTAATATAGAATTAATTTGATTTTAATCTTTTTAGTATAATTCACATGATGCCTAAATTTATTGGTATCTGCTATATAAAAACCTTTTCTGTCACATTAGTACCTATTATATATTCTTTAATCCAAATATTATAACATTTTATTTTAAAAGTTGTTTATTGCTTTTGAGCACTTCTTAAAGTTAATAAAAAATTATATTTTCAGAAAGCTTATTAGATAAAAGTTTAAAAGCTTTAACATTTTAAACCAAGAGATATAAATGATTTTAACATGGGTACGTTGATTTATATTTTTTAACAATTATTTCAGGTTTGCGTATTTAGAAATATACATTAGCTCAATTTGATTTCAGTGCTCAGTTATTTGAATTATAAATCATTATGTCCCTTCTAGCTGATCAGTCATGAAATATCTTTGAATTCATTTGCATAATGGAGTATGTGAGTGGTATATCTATTTCAGTGCAGTTGCTGGTTACCTTATGCATTCTTTGTTGTTTCCAATCGATTTCTTTATTATAATGTGTTTTTTAATCTTGACTTTAAAGCAATACATTATTTTCATGTTAAAAATAAGATGGCATTCTTCAGCAGTAGAAACAGTTATACAGGATAAAAATCATCACCTGTTGGCCCCTATTAATGGAAATCTGTATATATAAATATTCAAAATATTTTTATTTAAAGTTTTAGTAACAAGTAAATGAAAAGCATGTTATTTTGCTATGAAGTTTTTTAATGTTCTTTGTTACTTTATAGTGCAGGTCTGAAGATACTTTTTGTTTTGTTTTTTTCTATTTTTATCTGCTTCAGGTGAACCTTACTCAGTGTTTATGGTGCTCAAAGCCAGTCTCTGAACTTTGGTGTTCTTTTATCTGACCACTTGTTTGAAAATTGAAATCACAGAAGGTTCTCATTTTTAGGAAGTGTTAAAAACTCTTCACTTGCCTTGGTGGTCTCAAACTTTAGTGAGCATCAGAAAATATGAGCTCTTGTTAAAACACAAATTGTTAGGTACCACTCCCAGAGTTTCTGTTTCAGGAGGTATTAGGCCGAGGCCTGAGAATTTGCATTTTTAACCAGCCTCAGGTGATGGTGGCTCAGGGACCATACTGTGAGAACTTCTCCTTTTAGGTAATTAGAAAATAGAGCTGAATTATATATATCCTGCACAGAAAAGTCAGGTACTTCTCCCATGGGCACCTCTCATAAGATTTTGTACTCACTAGGAAAAGGCAGGCTTGATATTTTTAGAGATAGTGTAGCTCCCTAAATAATAATGTGGGGGGCTAGGAGAGGCTGCCATTACATAAGTCCCCATACTATAACTTGATAGTCTGTTGTGTTTTACCCCAAAGTTGCTGTCTGCCAGATTTGAAGTTTTCCAAATTGGTAAGACTATTATAATTTTTAATTCGGTGACTTTTTAAAGAGAAAGTTTATGTTTTCCCATCAGATTAATTTATAATACATTTAGCAAATACATCCGAGTAACTTTTCAACATGCTCTTTAATTTTCCAAGACTAAATTCAAGAATTCCTGATTCTTTTTTTTTTTTTTTCAGTACCATGCTGTTTGAGTTACAATAGCTCTGTAGTATGATTTGAAGTCTGCTAGTGTTATACTTCTGGTTTTACTTATTTATTTTTTTGCTCAGGATTGCTTTGGCTATTTTGGGTCTTTTGTTGTTCTATACGAAAAGTAAGATTGCTTTTTCCATTTCTGTGAAGAATGTCATTGGCATTTCAATGGGGATTGCATTGAATCTATAGATCACTTTGGGTAGTATAGACATTTTCACAATGTTAATTCTTCCAATCCAAGAGCACGGAATCTTTTCATCTTTTTTGTGTCTTCTTTAATTTCTTTCAGAAGTGGATTGCAGTTCCCATTGTAGATCAGTTGCATTGATATACTTAAATAATGAACTAGCAGAAAGAGAAATAAAGAAAGTAAGTTGCGCCACCGGGCCGGCCCCAGGAATTCCTGATTCTAAATAGCTTTTCTTAACATGCGCAGAACTGAAATGGCTCTGTCCAGGGCCAACCCTCCATAGTCAGGTTCAATACTTGGAGATCCTTCTGTTGGGGCTTAGAAAACAATACCCCCAAAATATGTTGCTTTGACCTGCTGAACTAAAGAGGAAGCCTCAAGTTCTCTCTGACACACTCCTGTCCCCTAATCCTTTTTCTCTCCCAAAGCACAGGATGAGGCTGTTCTCTGAAGTTCCCTTATCTACCTGGAAACCGGACCCACCAAAGAGGAACACAATTGCTTTCCATTCCCTTCCTAAAACATCATTAACCTGAGAAGATTAAAACTCATATCACAAAGGAAGAGAATGAAAATTAAACAACACACTTAGAGCTCAGAGGAACTTTGTCTTCAGTCCCATCCAGTTCCTAAAGAGAATTATTTACTAAGCATTGCCTGAGCATTTGGGCCCATTTATTTCCCCCTAAAAATCATTTACTACCCATCAAAATTGCCACATTTCTCCCATCTCCCCTTACCTGTGAAGAAGGGTGTATAAGCTTCTGGACCTCATTGACCTATTGGGTATTCATCCTCCTCTGATTCCATCATGCTTATGCACGTTAAATAAACTTGTGTGCCTTTTTCTCCTATTTATCTGCCGCTTGTCAGTTCATTTTCAGTGAACCTTCAGAGGGCAGAGGGGAAGCTTTCCCTTGTTCCTTACACTTCTCCCTCTTTGAAATGTTTTCTGGTCAGAAATATAGTTTCTATCTCAATGGGGAAAAGGTGAGATTGTTCAAGTGATTGGAATAAGGAAGCTTCTGGAAAAACTGGAGAGAGAATAAAAGTCATACAGAGCAATCAATTTATTTTAAATGCTGAGAAAGACCAGGGAAAGTGTTACATTTCATCCAAAATTCTGTTTGTTCTTTAATCATTATTTTGAGTTTTTCTTCCTTTGAAAAACAAAGTTTCTCCTGCAATTCACTGTTTACTCAAATTTGCAGTAGTAAAATGTCCC